TCCGCGAGAAATTGGACGTATTCCTCAGCTCTACCTTGCAAAGAATCGCTCGTATCCCTCCTATTCAGGTTCATTATGCGATCAGCTATAATAATCAACAGTACTCCTTTCTGGACAGATGACTAGGCCACAGCTATAGACATGGAAGCCATGAAGAAATCAGGGAATATCAATATTTTAAAATGATAGAAAACATTTGTAGCTTGGGTGGTAGATGGGGTGTTGTTTTGTTCTCTGGGTCTGCTGTTTACCTTTCAAACATTTCACCACCAGCCAACAGGACTTTGGCTGAAGGGTCTTGTTCTTCTCCACTTTTATTGGTCTCATGTGGTCATGTGGCTGAGGAATCACGTGATGACTTTCACATGACATCACCAGCCGGTCACATGTCCACCAATCACATGATCACATGAGATCAATAAAAGAGAAGAACTGAAACTTCAGCCGAAGTCCCACTAAGGAGGTCATTTAGTCTGGTGACTGTTTACTTCGGAAACAAACCACTGCCAATAGTATCAATACTTACGCAAGAGCCATGATTCCATAGGGCCAGGATCGGATCTCCAGCCTCTTCCGGCTCTTGATTTCATCCAGGGTCAACACCATCCCACTGTCCGACTCACCGTCCTGCAGAAGAGGGGGAAGAAGAGACTCAGGACATCCTTATAAAGGCTCCTCATTCCAAGCCAGAGGCTGGATCATTTGAGCTCCAGAAAAAGACTTCTTCCCAGGTTTTTCACTGGCTTTTTGCTGCCTTTTAATTGTCACACAGCTTTAATTTTTTTTGAAACCTGTCTTAACACTGGCTAGATTATACAGCGAGTTTTTATTTTGCACTCTCATATTCTGCGTTTCCCCTGGATAATAGTGGCCAATATTTTCTTCTCCTTTTCCATCTCTCCAGATTTGCTTATTTGGCTGGCAAATTTACCAACCTATTATATCATATTGCAATCACACTTATATACTGCTTCACAGTGCTTTGGAGCCCTCTCTAAGCGGTTTACAGAGACAGCCTCTTGCCCCCAACAATCTGGGTCCTCATTTTACCCACCTCATGAAAGGCAGAATCAACCTTGAGCTGGTGAGGATCGAACTCTTGTCAGTGGACAGAGTTAGCCTGTAACAATGCATTCTAACCACTGCGCCACCATGGCAGGATAAACCCATAAATGGTAATGCAAAATATTAGGTAAATTATGTGCCTATTGGTATTCTGTATCATTGGATAACTTCAATTATTTGTTGCTTTTTATTAACATTAGCTAGTTATTAACATTCAGGGATAAATTTCCTAGCTGTTTCCTGTTTGCAGATTTCCGCCTTACAGTAACCACTTCCAGGTGGGCAGAGAAAAACACATATTTGATTCAAGCTCACCTCATGTATCATTTTCTCCTTCTCTACAGGCACCTCATCAAAGGTCTTCACACTGAGTGGCCGGTTCTTGGAGTTAATGCTGAAAATAAAGAGGAGGTAAGATTTTGGGTTGCCCACACATGGCCATTAGTGTGTGTGTGTGTGTGTGTGTGTG